TTATATTTTAGGAGCTTTACCACGTTGATCACCCCATTTTCTAACTCAATCCATGCGTATGGAAGCTTGCACTCTATTAGTTCCTTGAAAGGATTAAAACAAAACAAAAAAAATAAATGAAATGAAATGAAAAACCAATGACACCAACAATGGTGTCCATGATGTCAAACAGCAATATGGGAAGCTTCCTGTTGTTGGTTTTGTTGTTTAAGGAAGCGGCCATGCTGTTGGGATTCAAGGCCGTCCTGTTTCTGGGGTGCTTAAGAATTAGTTGTGGAGAGAAGCAGAATGTTGGTGCTCTCGTCAGTAGAGCCATCCAAAATCATTTTTGACAAAAACGTGAGGAAGAATGACAATCCCTTGGATTTTCTGTTTCTATTACTATCCAAGCAGCCTACCGCGAAATATGGCTCAATGATTTGTAGCGCACTCTGGGTTTGCCATTGGGTTTACTTAGGGCTTCGGGCTTAGCACTTGTTGGATGCATACGGGTACTTATGAAGAAATGCCTTGTCCCAATCTATATATATATACTGTATTATGTGAGAACACCACTAATCAGATAATTTTTTTTTCTTTTGCAAAATTCTACTTAAATCATTTTGTAAAGTACTTGATCATAATTCGAAGACTCTTTCTTAAATTATCTTTCGATGGAACTGGTTTCTTGTTTTTTTCAAAAAATAAAATTAAGAGCAAATATTGAATAATATCAATATAGAATATCAATAAAACCCAAATCTAAAAGTCATCTATGTCAAGATAAATGACTTTATCAATAGAATCTGTTGCTATTGAAATTTATTTTAAAAAATAAAAAATAACAATAAATTATTTACAATGATTCTCAAATTAGTTAGTTTTATGCATCATCTCTTTTTAATGTGTAGGCATGTAAGAATGGACTCACAAGTAGCAAGGATCTGTTGATTGCAATCTTTGCTGAACGTAGCAATTAGTTTTTATCAGTCCAAGCACTTGAATTCAAAAATTTTCTCACTTAAAATATTAGACTTTTTCTTTTTCAATCTTCTTCTCATAATGTGGTTTCCAAAATCCATAAATTTGTTGTTTGGCGGTAAGCTTGTTTGTTTTATATTGAAAAGATTGTAAGATGGGTACAAAGACCAGAATCAATTGAAAGTTTAGTTAAAATCCGTCGATTACATCGTCAAAATGCGTGGAACCATCTATAGTCACCAAAGATTCCACAGGCCTATATCCACAAAAGCTATAATCTTTCAAACCCACTCTATAAATACTGCACTTTTAGTTTCAAATCTACACAAATCAAAAGTCTCCTTTGCTAACTAAATCAATCAATTCTCACTCTTCATTTGATCATTTCCATTACTGTCAATAATCATGGGTGTTTTCACTTATGAATCTGAGGTTGTTACCGCAATCCCACCACCCAAGATGTTTAAGGCTTGTATCCTTGATGGTGACAAGCTCATCCCAAAGATTGTTCCTCAGGCTTTTAAGAATGTTGAGAACATTGAAGGCAATGGTGAGCCTGGAAGCATCAAGAAGATTACCTTTGGAGAAGGTTAGTGATTTATCTCAACATTGGAAACCAGGATTTTCAAAATATAAGATTCTCAAGTTCTAACCCGCAGAAGTATCCTTTCAGAAATTAAATACTTTGAATCATTACTAAGGATATCCTTTTAATTATTCGTGAAAAAAAATGGTTATTGTCCAAAGTAATAACTATAGTCTTTATTTGCCTTAATGTCTGCACTTGCAGGAAGCCAATTCAATTACATAATAGAGAAGGTGGAGGCACTAGACAATGATAATTTTGTGTACAGCTACAGTGTGATTGAAGGTGATGCTTTGATGAACACACTTGAGAAAATCACTTACGAGACCAAATTGGAGCCATCTCCAGCTGGGGGATCCATATGCAAAACCACTAGTAAATATTACACCATCGGTGACTTTAAGATTAAGGAAGAGGGTATCAAGGCCGGTAAAGAAAAGGCCCTGGGAATATTCAAGGCCGTTGAAGCCTATCTCCTGGCAAATCCTGACGCCTACTGAAAACTCCAACAATACTACTTCAATGGTCATAATTACATTATGGAAATGAATTCTCTTTGTTTTGCCTTTTAACTTTGCAAATAAGTGGTCACAGTGTCATGATCACCGAAAAGCTTGTACTAAATAAAAGAGCATCAAGGTAGGATTTACAAATAGTGTACTTTGTCATATAGAACGTAAGACGTGACGTTATATTAAGTGTTGAATCAAATTTCCACCATAAATGACTTTTAATTCATGAGTTTGATTATCATCCCTTTTAAGGTCTTTATTTACAAGATATCTAGCAAGACTTTTAGTTAAAGAATCTACCAAGTTATCATTTTACCTCACAAAAGTTATAATGATCACTCCATTTGAAAGTAATTATCGGACATAGCTATGCTTTATCCAATATATCTAGACTTTCCATTATATACAAAAATTGGTTTAGGCCACAAAGGTACATCAAAAAGTAAATTTTTTATCCATTCGGCTTATTTGGTGGTAACAACCAATGCAATGAATTCAGTTACCATAGTAGAATCATTTATACACGTTTGTTTCTTGGATCCCTAAGAAAGGGCATCCCCACCAAGAATGAAGATCTATCAACTCGTAGAAGCATGATTTTCCAAACTTGTAATACAATTAGCATCCAAATATCCTTTTTTGATGGATATCCATTATAACAAAAACCATAATTGATTGTTTTCTTTAAGTACCTAAGTACTCTATTTATTGTTTGCCAATGCAAGTTACTTGGACTACTTGTGTATTGATTTAATTTCCCAACAAAAAATGCTACATCTAGCTTTATACACGTCATTGCATACATTAGGCATTCAATTACCTTGCAGTCTTAGATTAGAATCATAAAATGTAGACATTGGCGTAAAATCTAACTTACCATACTTTATTACAATCTTTTGAATGTAATTAGATTTAGACAATGTTATGTCATCATTGTCTCTTATTATTCTTATGCTAAGAATATCATTCGCCACACCTGTATATCTCATGTCAAACTTCTTTGACAATAACCTTTTTATGTCCTTCATTTCTTCCAAATTGGTACCAAATATTATCATGTAATCACATATAAGTAAATGATGACACCACTACCATTATGAAACTTAATATAAACACACTTATCAAATTCATTTATCCTGTAGCCATTAGCTAGTACAATCTCATCAATTTTTGATATCATTGTTTAAGGGCTTGTTTTAATCCATACAAGGACTTTACAAACTTACACATGTTCCTTTCATTCTCAATTGACAACATTGTATCTTAATTTATAATCGAAATGTCAAATAACATATCAAGGTGTATGTTCGCATAAGCATTATTGTGCCTTTATTGCACAATTAGAATATCATGTCAAAGGTATTGAATATCAATTTTGCACCACTATATCTTCAATGATAAAATAGGAATGCATCATATACCAAGATATTATATTTTACATATTGGCACCATTATTTCATGTATAATAGGAGTGCCACAATGCCCACACCTTATGTCTTCCATCACCTGGACCTTGATGGTATTTACATATTGTCATCATTATACTTTAATGTATAATGGGAATGTCACATACCCGCCTATCACATAGACCTTGATGGTTTGTCTTCTATCACATGGACCTTTTCTAACTCAAGATCCTTTACTTTAAGATCTTTATATACTTCTCATCTTGTTTGTAACTTCATATTGGTTGCAACAATCTTCTTTTATTTGAAGATGATTACCAATATTCTCAATAGGCATCTACTCTTTCTTATACTTTAGAAATTTCTTAATGTCTCTCCATGAGTGGGCAAGTTTAGCCATTATAGAAGACACAACAATAACCTTATTCATATCGAGATCATACATGAATATAACAAAATTCTTCTTTCCAAACAATATACGTTTTTCATGCATATCAAGTAACAAAAAAAACACTTATCTTGTAATCTGATGAAAAATCATTTTGCCATTTTCTTTGTCAACATCAACTCGTTCCAATTTCATAAAAATCAAAAGCCAATTCCCTTAATATTCCACTTGCAGCAGCCATTATTGAAACAAAATAAAACCTTAAGATTGTTAGAACACCAAACTGGAAAATATCAAAATGGCTTCAAGGTACGTAATAATGCTACTATCCTTAAAGTTTAATTTGGTCCAACTCATAGTGTGCAAAAAGGTTACCAATACATAAGCCTCAAAGATACAATGAAGCCCAATAATTGACTATGTTTTCATTGACAAAATCAATCTATTGAGCATCTACCGGTGTATGACAAGATTACCTAACTTCTATAAAATTTCTCTACAACAAAATGATATAGAAGAAATCTAGAGAATATTGAGAAATGAAGGAGAGATTGTTGTTTATTATATTCTGTGTTTTCTTTTGTCCCAAAGAAAGTCTATTATAAGCCTAAGTGACTATTCCTAATAGACACAATTATGTCTATTTCAAATGAACACAATTATTTGTTTCCGACAGTCATAACTATTGGTTTTCCAATAGACATGATTGTTTGTTTTCCAACATAATTATTTGAATAAACTTAATTATTTGAACAAACATAAGTTTTGAACAATCATATTGTTCAAAGAACTTTCTTCTTTTAATTCTTCCATTATTATTATTGAAAATGTCCAACAATAATAGAACTACTTAAGCAATTGGATGCGATTACTACAACCATGTTTACTTTAGGTTTTTCGTTTTTTACTCAGTCAAATAAAGTTTTATTATTCATCCCAAGTTGGGCAAAAGCTGATGGGAACCAGCGTGATGAGAGCAAACTCAAGATGGATCTACCAAACTCAGCATAGTCCCTACAAAAGTGAGGCCTACATGATTGTCAATATATAGTATATACACCTCACATCCATGGCTACAGGCTTTACTATAAAATCAATTAGGTTCTGCATCTTAATTATCCAACTGAACATAAGACATTCAAAGAGCTGTCAATACAACAAAGCATCATAATAAGGCAGTTACAACCAGCATCATTAAGGCAATAGCCACAAGTCACACAAGAGAGTCACCACCAAGCGGAGAACCATGCTTTCTTGCCAATTGCTTTTTTTTAAGCTGAATATTGGCATGGATTATATAATTATATGCATAAAAATAATAAATGAAATTTGGAATCAATAAAAATAAAAATGCTAATAAGATTATTTGTTGTTTATTATTTATTTAATGCAATATGATCCCTTAATTCATACATAGAGATGTCAATGGATACTTTATTACAAATTAATTCGTAGATACCTTACCCAATTATATAAGGTTAAGGTACCATATAATCAGGTTTGAGATGGGTTTCGTTAATAATTTTACTACCCGTATTCGGTTCAGATAGAGCTCGGGTACCACCCCTTAGGTACCTATTACTCTAACCCGATTATGTTGATATCCAAGTTTAGGCGGATATCCGCCCTGAACTTGAACCCTATAACCATTTATATAATATTTTATTAATATTTATATAACATATAATAGATCATTAAAGTAAATATGTAAAATTTTGTTTGTGTTTGGATTTTAACTTGTGTAAGGATGAGAAATACTCCACATTTTTACCAATTTATGAATAATTCATTTTGATAGAAATTGATAGATATATTAATAACATATAATTATTTGTCAAATTATTAATGTGATGTCATTAATATATTTAAATTAAAAAGCAATAAGATTATTCATTTTGTTTAAATAATATGAATATCTTATCATATTACATGAAATATAATTACTATTATATATATTATATACTTTTAATATAAACATATTTACTTTCTGTTTTGTATTTTACAAAAATTATAACTTATAAAATTATTAGTTATAATGTATATACCTTTGCTTATGTAAACTTATAATAATATATATACCTAAAAAAAGACTATGAGATTAAAATAGTTTTACAATTTATTTTCTTAATTTCATGTAATTAAGGACAAACCTATAGAGTTAATTAAATTAATTCATGAAAGTAAGATTATTGAACACCTTGTAATGTCTTTTAATATATGTACTTTATATATTGTGTTAATTTATAAGGAATAAAATTATTATTATACGTATGCTTTGAATATAAACATATTTACTTTCTATTTTGGGTTAACATTACAAAAATTATAACTTATAAAATTATCAATTATAAATATATATATCTTTATTTACATAAACTTATAATATATATACCAAAGGAGAGGTTGTGAGATTAGAATATAATTATTGTTTGTTTGCTTTTATAAATTTAAATTAAACAATGATTTGTTGTAAACTTGTAATTTTATTATTTTTTTCTTTTATAAATTTAATTATTAGTGAGTGATATGGAATACGGATGTGAATTGTAAACTATAATTTAATTGTATATTGATATGAGTTTGGATTCAAATTTGAGTAATTGGGTACCCATGAAAAGTTAAACAAAACTTTTTTAACATAATCGTGTTTTTAAACGAATTTAGATAATTATCAAATAGTAGATATATATATTAGGGTTCACGTTAGGTAGTAAATTTTAAAAATATCCGAATAGTTATCAAATTAGAGTACTCTATAACTTAATCAGGTTTGAGCAAAGGGTGAGGGAGGGGGGCTTGTAAGGGCCCCTGTCCCCCTAAAAAAATTTTAAACTTTAACAATTTTTCTTTATTTTTTTCAAATTTTATAGTTTTGCTCCCTTTTTTAAAAAAAAATTATAAGTTTACCCCTACAAACATTGAATTTTTTATTTTTGCCCCCTCAAATATAAAATTTTGATTCCGTCACTAGATTTGAGTATCTCGAATTTAACAGAAACTCTACCCGTTGATATCACCATTCATACATGAAAATGAAAAATTTGTATAAGATACATTCAAGACTCGCCTTATAAAAATAGTAAATAAAGTAAGAAAAGCTGAGGAAATCTAGAAACTTAGCTAGAAGTTAAGACTAAATTTCATAGAAGAGAAAGATGAGGTGATTCAAAGGCTAGTGGAACTCGAAGTTGTAG